CAACGCCGGGGGGTTCCCCAGGGTCCCCCTCAGCCCCCCAATCATTTTTCAGCTAGTCTCTGCGCCATTTGTGGGGACTCTGACCAATTTGGAGGGGGGGCTCTGTCCCCCCAACCCCAGCAGACCACGAGACCTATCAAGACCATGAAGACCTCCAAGATCAAATAAAGGCTGGTGCCTTTATTTGTGGGGAGGATGACACACTCCGGGGAGGGGGTTTCCCCAGGACCCCGAGTTGGGGGGAGCGTTACTGCTCCCCCTGTGCCCCACTTTTGTGGGGCATGTCTCCCCACACTCTCCAGTCTAAGGGTGACTTAATGGAGTGCAGTGGAGACTCAATGAGACAAACAGCAAGAAAAAAATAGGGAGAGTGAGCCTGATCAAAGTAGACATGGAAGGAAACTTGAAAATGCAAAAAGGAGCAAGACAGTCAAGAGAGAACTAAAAAGAGCAAGTTACAGTAGCAGTGCATATATGTAAGCAAAATCGTAAAGCCAAGAGATTAATAGAGGAAAGGAGACAGCAAACTAGATAAAAGTAGATAGAAAACTCAAATTTTTGAAGCTAGGGAACTAAGAGAGAAATGAATTAAAAAATATCAACAGCAAACTAAGATAAAGGCAGACAGAAACTAAAAAAAAAAAACAAACAAAAACCAAACCACCTTAAACCCCGATACATGACAGGACATCTTCAGAAATTTTGCTTGTGAAAGTGAAAACGTAAATGTGCACCTACTGATTTGCATGTGTGTCTTCTTAGCAATCAAAAGTCAGCCCAGAAAACAGACGAATGTGAAGAGTATGTGCCTCAGTCTTCATAGGGTAATCTCTGATCTGCCTTCAAACAGTACTTCTGAATTTGGTGGTCTTAAAGACAACATTGAGTAGTACGGTTGTCCAGATTTCTCATTATTGCAGTTTATTATTTGTGATCCTACTTCACTACTGAAAGAAAACTATGGGACTGAGTCCATGTTACCCTGAAAGCCCACAGGACATGTCACCAATGTTTGTGCCTCTAATTATCTAGCTGGCCATTGTGGGTCAGACAAATACGGTAGAAAATAAAAATCAATTGTGCACACAAAGTAGACATTATTGATGAATAGGAATAAAAAGGCCTTGATCTTCAGAGAATATTTCCATGATTGAATGATTAATGATTACTGTGACATTTGACCCTAAACTAAGAAAACATAATATAGTCATTAAAACTTTGGGGGGACATTTTGCAGCGAACCTGCTTGTTATTTGACTGCGATACTGTTTTGAATGAGGCAATGCATCCCAGAACACGGTGTGCAGACCATTAAATGTTCGCCTTAACATTTAGCTTTTACAGAACAAGTAAGCCTCCAGCCGCGGTAGTTCAGTCTCACTGAATACTCAGGGTTTTCAAACGTATCTTCTTCAGCATCCTTGCAGGAGCTGGGAGGGTGTGGGGGTGTCAGTGGACCACTTCAGCAGACTTAGATGATTTTTTACCAAGAACAGAAAAATGTTTAGAAACACACTTTAAGTACTCCATAGAAGAGACATAGGTTTAGAATCCTGGAAATGGCTGGCTGTAGACTGCTAGTTTGCCAAAATGATTAAGTACTTCCAGGCAAACTGTCATTTAACTATGAAATCGGACATGACCTATTGACTGATCCTCAGCACCAAAATTAAAATATAATGATTAGCTTTTTAGAGTGCTCAGCAGAGGAAGTTTATTCACCCTTCGCAGGACATTTGAGACAGGAATACACTTTTGTAGAGCACTGATGAGAATCACCTAAAAGAACATTATAGTCCTATATACTTCTTAACTCATATTGGTCCTAGCAGTGGAGTTACACATTAATAGCTGGCTGTGTCCTTGGCCGTTGCACTGCTAATGCCGCCTCCAGAACAATTTACTCAGATGGATGGAAGATGGCAGCGGTTGTAACTTTTTATTGGACGTCACAGATGTTTAGTTTTACACATTTTTGTAAAGAAAGGTACGTTTTATTTTTAATTTTATTTTTAATTTTCTTCTCTTTAAAAAATGTCTAACTTGCCTATTTGTATACTGATTTGCAAGAGTATTTTCATGTTTAGAAGGCTGCCTTTACATGAAGTTCCCTCTATAGTCATCAGTATTGCAACCGTAAGACTCCAACTTCCTTCTCATTTCTTAACACTTATTTTACAGGGTGAAAATTAATCCCATTTGAACAAGAAAAGCTATGTTAAACCACTTTTTTCCTAAAAAATACTGAAAAAAGATACTATTCTCCTTTTCAGTATAACTGAAATCTATTGAATTGTGCTGTACATACAATGAAAAGGTAAATCTACAGATGTACTGCTTATCCCCAGACATAATGCTGGTAAAGAATTTTTGTATAAATCATTTATTTTTCAAAGAATTGTAGCCAAAAATAGTAACTCTTGACACTTAGGCCCTTATTCACTATTTTAAATGCAGGTGTCATAGATCAGAGGAAACAAGACCGATTATGGTAATTCTATTTATTTATCATTGACATCCACAAACAAAGAGCAAATGTCTGTCTGCACAAAATTATATGCTTAAATTTATTTTTTAAATTAACAAAGAAATTTTAGTGAGATGCTTTATTCCCTCTGGAGTTCCTTTGTATAACCACTTTCCACTGTGAAACAGTAATTAGACATTACCATAACTTCAGCTGTGATGTGGGACTTGGAACATCATAAGTGTCCTAAGTATAACATACTGCTCTTACATTTTTATCATATGATGGTTCAAATGGATCACTAATGCTCTTAAAATCCTGCTACAAGTCGAGGTACCTTATTTTCCACTGATCTGATGCAGTCTGAGGGTGCTTAATACCTCACAGGGATATGCTTATCAGGATATCTTTTAAAGATAAAGTAGACACGGGCAGATGATGCAGTTCTCCATCTTGTAGATGAGAGAAAATAATACCCAGATTATCAGTGAGCAGTTGTTCATGTTGCTATGGTTACCGTGTAAGCTACAATAGTTTTGCCCAGTGTTACTTTTTTTTTGTAATGCATTAAGGAAGGAATGCAGATTTTATAATGTTTTATACTTTTTTTCTCTCATACATTTTAGTGTTAAGATGGCAGAATAACCATGGGAGACTGGAATTTCCTTGGAGGCATTTTAGAGGAGGTCCACATCCATTCTACTATTATTGGAAAGATTTGGCTAACGATCCTCTTCATATTTCGAATGCTTGTCCTTGGAGTGGCAACCGAGGATGTTTGGAACGATGAGCAATCAGAATTTATATGCAATACCGAGCAACCTGGTTGCAGAAATGTGTGCTATGATGAGGCCTTTCCCATCTCTCTCATAAGATACTGGGTCTTGCAAGTTATATTTGTGTCTTCCCCTTCCTTGGTGTATATGGGTCATGCCTTATACAGACTAAGAGTCTTGGAAAAAGAGAGGCAAAAAAAGAAAGCTCAGGTAAAGGTGGAACTTGAAAGCACCAAATTAGAAATGACTGAAGATCGTAAAAGGCTGGAGAGAGAACTCCGGCAATTGGATCAAAGAAAGCTAAATAAAGCACCCCTGAGAGGCTCTTTGCTCTGCACTTACGTGATACATATTTTCACACGGTCTGCAGTGGAAGTCGGTTTTATGATTGGGCAGTATCTCCTTTATGGCTTTCATCTAGATCCCCTTTATAAATGTCAGAGAGATCCATGCCCAAACACAGTTGACTGCTTTGTATCTAGACCAACAGAAAAGACAGTCTTTATATTATTCATGCAGTCAATAGCGACTGTATCATTGCTTTTAAATATCCTGGAAATTATCCACTTAGGATTCCGAAAAATTAGAATAGGACTCTGTGAGCAGAATAAAAACAAGGACGACTCTGACAATTTCCACATAAACACGTCTAAGAAATACTCTGTGATACCGCAATCTTCTTTCGGAATACCCACCACCCCTCAGAAAACTCTTCCTTGTGCACTTAGCAGTTATACCTTTTTAATGGAAAAGCAAACCGACACTACCGTCTACCCGGTTCTAATTTCTCCTTCTCTGTTTCAGTCTGTGCAAAATAATCATACAGAAAGCAGCAGTAATTACACCCATTGCAATCAGGAGAATAAATTGCCAAAGAAGAGGCCAACTACAAATGCCTTAGACAATCAGACTCAAAATACCAGCATGAATAATAACGAGGGTTTTCTTGGTGAGCTTGGGACTGAAGCGCATGATGCACAAAAAGAGGCCGAAAAGAAACATTTCCTTGTTGTTACTCAGAATGCAGATATGGCTTCAAACATGTGTTTGAGAAGCTTTACTGACATGCCATCTCAAACTTCACTGCAACCCAATACAACTTTTCCTTGTACCAGTTTTAGGCAACAGCATGGAATTGGTTCGTCTTGGAACTGCTCAGCAACGGTTGAGAGCGCAGGAGCTTTGACAAATTCTCTTCCAAAAAACAGCAACAGAAGACAAAGCAGTTTCAGTGCAAACAACGCCCAAACTCCTTACAATACTGACGTAAAAAATTTTAGCCAACCAGACACTCCTGACTCTACAGAGGAGGTGAGCTCAGAATCTACACAAAGTAGAAACTGGAATAGTCCTAAGCTTTACTCTCTGTCCAGGCAACTGTCACTGTCAAGTAATGCCAGCAGCAGGCGTGCCCCTACTGATCTTCAAATATAGTGGGAGTTAAGCCATCAATGCTGGAATAATTACTGAACAAGGAGACATAAGCAAGACCTGTGTGTAAGAGTAGCTAAATCATTCAACTTTAACCAGCTTTTTCACATAGATAGAAAAGTTGTGTAACCCTTTGAACAGTAGCTAAGTAACTTTTAAACAGTCCCTTTACTTCCTTTGTAAAGAAAATGTGGCATAGACCTCAGTGTATAAACTTCTACACTCCTTCCAGCTAAAAAGGAAAACATACTCCCTCCAAGTCCACATATTAGGAGAAGTCTGGCATAAAATCACAGCTGATAATACTATTTAAACTGAATAAAAGTAGGAGAAAAAATTTAGAGTCTAATAATATCTTTTACAAAGACCAGTAAATGAAATTAGGCTAAAGGTGGCACTGGCGCTCTCAGAAAAACTTTTTGGTAAACATGTTTCCACTTACTCTGAGAATTCAGACTTTTGATAGCTGTCTGAAAGCAGAATGTCAAACATATCCCACTCTTCAAACTGTGTTAAATACAAAAAGAACAAAACATTTGCTATACTGATCACTAATTCTTTGACTCCATGGTACACTTTCTTCTTCAGTGTATCACCACTGACTTCCTCCGCAGAAAAATCAAAGTGAATTTCTTTTACTATTAGAATTCAATACACTATTACATTTTTAAAGCATCATGAATTGCAAACAAGCTGTGAGCTTTAATTTTGACATTTTGCATAACGCTAAAAAGATAGCAATTTTTTTTTTAAATCAGAAAACACGTTACTGAAATTTATTAATCAGAAATTTTGAATTTCACAAACCAGAAGGCTTACTATGGAAAATAGAAAAAAAAAAAAAAAGAGAGAGAGGAAAAAAAAAGTAAATACAGTAGTACATTCCTGCCTTCAGTTACAATGTCAAAAGACATATAAAAGGTTTATCAAATTGTAAAACTACTCCCTTTCTGTTGTCTTTCCCTTAAATTCTGACAAACTTTTAAATCAAACAAAGCTTATACTTGTTTAGAAGGAGCATTTTGGTTTATGCTTCTTATGGGGGTAGTAAGACATTAAGGATATTCATTCACTTGCTGCTCCGGTCCATACAGTATAATGGAAGTTCCAAGAAATACCTTGAAATAGTAAAGGAGGCAAAGATGAACAAAATACTATGTTACATTTGTAATAGAGCTTTCTATGTATGAAATACATTTACTTGAGTCGCACAGCACTGACAGGCTGTAAATACTTGGTGAGGTGGTCACAGCTGAGATGCATTAGTGTATACACATGGTTTTTTTACTAGTGGATGGGATTTACTGTACATGTCCTGGAAAAATATTTTGAGATGTTTCATCATGATGTTACAGCATAATTAAATCCTTTAAGGTGCATTGTTATTGTGCTTACCAGACAGCCATGCTTCAGAGTGGCTGAAAAGCTGTACAATACTAGAAAAAAAGAAGCCTGAAAACCTAAAAAGCTCTTTTGGCCCTGTCCACGTACGAAACACACATTAGTACTATTACAACTATTCACTGTAAATTTCTCTCAGCAGGTATCCTTTTCACCTCATATCGTTCTGTGTGTGTACATAAATACAGCCCTACATAATTCTGTTTACACTGTAAAATTTAACATTGTGTAATATACTGAAATGCACATAAATGTATAGCCTGATTTAGGCCAGTTAATTCTGCTACTGTGGCTTTAACTCTTGCATTTCTTGATGCATAAGATTCTGCGGGTGATAACTGCTAATGCTTGTTTTGCATTTAATGTCTCTGTAATAAAAAGCCTAGTATTTAATGCACTCCAGTCCCACTGCCAAATAATAACAAGTTAGCATTTAGATGCTTACATATGGGATATGACATTTGCATTTCTGTTGTTCAAGATGAGTTACAAAAGAATTTGTTTTTCTGCTGCTGAGAGCAGAATTTTATTAACTTTTTTTTTCTGGACAAGGGTCAAATATTTCATTTCATCACAGCACCTTGCCAACAGAAAAGTGTAACTTAATTCCAGTGAAAACTGAAGACGTTGCAGAAGAGCACAGAGTAGAAGTATGAAAAGACCCTAACATCACAGGTGCAAGATCATTTGGTTGTTTCTTTTTTTTTTTTTTTAACTTCTATAATAAACAGATTTTATCTGTCAGTAGATACCAGAGACTTTCACAAAAATAAACAGGTATAACTACTTCTGTGTTTTTTTAAACAGGCTAACACAAATTACTTTCCTTATGATGCAAAGGTTTCACCACATATCACTCTTTGGAGCCCCTCGAGTGGACAGCTATGCAGTTGCTGCTTGCTGCAACTTCCCCCTCCTGTGATTGTCCTACTCTGCTCTGCCCTGAGGAGGCTTCACCTCCAATATTGTGGCAGTTTTGGCCACTGCAATACAAGAAAGGTATTAAGCCATTAGCGAGTGTCCAAAGGAGGGCAACAAAGATGGTTAAGGGCCTTGAGGGGAAGCCGTGTGAGGAGCAGCTGAGGGCACTTGGTCTGTTCACCTTGGAGGAGACTGAGGGGAGACTTCATTGCAGTTACAACTTCCTTGTGTGAGGAAGAGGAGGGGCAGACACTGATCTCTGCTCTCTGGGGACCAGGGACAGGACCCCAGGGAATGGCCTGAAGTTGTGTCAGGGTAGGGTTAGGCTGGATGTCAGGAAAAGGTTCTTTCCCCAGAGGGTGCCTGGGCACTGGCTCCCCAGGGCAGTGCTCGTGGCACCAAGGCTGCCAGAGCTCAAGGAGTGTTTACATGGTACTCTCAGGCACATGGTGTGACTCTTGGGGATGCTCCTGTGAAGGGCCGACAGTCGGAATCGATGATCCTTGTAGGTCCCTTCAAACTCAAAATACTCCGTGATCCTGTGATTTCAGCGCGCTGCAGTTACCCCTCGAGCCCCGGCAGGACAGCTCAGCGTTCCGGTCGAAAGCCGCGGCACGCCCCGCCGCTCGGAGAGACAGCGCTTTCAGAGCCCTCAGAGCCCGGCCAGGGGCGAGGCCCCGAGGGCGGTGCCGCCGCTCCGTCGCTCCGGTAACGGCGGGGAAGCGCTGGCGCTGTTAAAGCGCAGGGCGCAGGCGCGCGGCGGGGTGGGTGCGGTGCGGGGTAGATGGCGCACTACAAGGTAGGAGGCAGTGCCGGCGTGGGTGCGGTGTTGCCCCGCTTCCCGCTCGGAGCGGCGGGACCGACACCGGCTCGGCCCTTCGTGCCGCTTCCGCGGCGGAAAGCGGGGCCGGCCCGGGCCAACGAGCCGCCTCGGCAGCCGAGGCGGGACGCGCCGCCGATCTGACCGTGTGGGCGTCCTCTCTCAGGCCGCGGACTCCAAGCGGGAGCAGTTCCGCCAGTACTTGGAGAAGTCGGGGGTGCTGGACGTGCTCACCAAGGGTAAGTCTCCTGCCCGTGAGGGGCCAGCGGGCAGCTCTTGCGGCTCTGCCGGCCCGACCCGGCCGTGTTGTGGCGGCCCGTCGGGTGCGCCCCCGGCTCCCGCCTCGTCGCCCGCCTCTTCCCCTCAGTCGGCGAGGGGGCGGCAGCAGAACTCTCCTGGAAAATCTTGGTGCGGCGTGGCCTGGAAATGGAGTCCGGGAGGCGGAGGAGGGCCGCGGGCCTCTGGAAACGCGCCCTGGGAGTTACAAAGCGTTAATTCCTGTGCGGGTCGATTGTTAGAGGTGCGTGTGGGACACAGGGCTGTTCCTCTCTCCGCACAGGTGTGTCGGAGACCTCTCTTACTCTCGGCCAAAGTGCTTCTTTCAATGCGTGCTTTTGGTTAATTTCTTGGGGGCTGTTATTCTGCCAGAGCTCTACAGAGAAAGTAAATGCTTGAGACGGTATAACAGCAAGTGTTATTTTAAACCCCACTTTAATTCTTTAAGACCCTTTCTTGAGTAGAGCTTAGTGCTTTTTCTAAAATGAATGAAAGTTATGTTTTGGAGAGTGACTATCTGTATCAAAATGGGGAAAATGATGATGCTAAACTTGACACATATGACTTGGCATCTTTGAAATTCTTTTGAAGTCTTTTTGAGAACCTTCCAATAGTATGTGGCAAAAATCTGTTTCCATTTCTGATTGAAAATATGCTGTATAAAGAGGGAGCAGCAGATCTAGGATGTCGAGCGAATAGGTGCTGCATTAAGACTCTTGGCCTGGTGTGTGAGTACCATTTGATTTTTCTATTGCAATACCATCCAATGCAATGGCAAAACAAGCCTTCCAAGCACTGAGGCATCCTAATTTTGTTTTTAACTTGGGCAGTGTGTAGCTTAAAACCAGTTTGACTGTATAGTTTGAATATCTGGAACTGGCACATTGCCCCTGTAGGGAGTGGGGAATGGTTATGTTTGGGAACTTTCTGAGTATTCGTGTGACTGAGTTCTCCATGTATATGGCTACTTTTATTTAAGCTGTCAGGGTATTGCTGCTCGTGTCTGACTTCTGTGGCCCTTAGGGGCTCCATCCATGAAGATTATCAGTGTCACCTACTCTGACAGTAGCCATTTAGTTTTGTAACTGTAGATGTTTGATGGAGGTTTGCTTTTATGCTGAAAGTTACAGAACTGCTGATGTCCTGTGGTTCAAAGAAGTGGAAATAATGATACATGAAGAGAATCTCAAAATAGTTAGAATTTCAGTCTTGCTGATGAAAGCTAATACTAGTGTTGCATGTGGAATGTGTAAAAATTGTCCAGGCCATTTTGTCTTCTGTGCTAGACTAGCCAAAGACTTGGGTTAGGGATGAAGAAAACTTATATTTAGCTGTTACTAGGTGGAATGCTCTGTCTACTCCTGTACAGCAGACCTGTTGTTTATGTCGGAGTATACAGGTGAAAATCATGTTAAATGGAAAAATGTGCTATAAATATGTTGTGCTTTCTGACTGTTGGTATCTGTTTCAAAAACTTAAGAGTTGCGTGAACTTCTTGCAATTGACAAATATTTTCCGTTTGCAGTGTTGGTAGCCTTATATGAAGAGCCAGAGAAACCAAATAGTGCACTGGAGTATCCTTTTTCTCTACTGTGTCTTGTTTGTAGAGACCTTATGTGAAATAGCAGTACTGCTTCTGACTCGTAGGTGAACTGGAGAGGCTCATTTAGAAACCTTGCCTTGAGAACATGGCTTTTATCGATGCGTTTTGGCTAATAATTGCCTTCTTACAAGCTAAGGGAGAGTCTGACAGGATGCAAGAGAACTAGGCTATCAGTATGCCAACAATTAAAAAGCTAAGTTATAGGCCATTACAGAGTTGTAGACCTGCAGCATTTGAGTACCTGCAGTGTCTGTGGCTTCTGAAGTTTGCTTCTTCACATTTCCTTTTTTGTTTGATTTGGGTTTTTTTTAATAAGAAGAACTTGTACTGATGTCTTGTTTTTGGTTGTGTTTGGTTTTTTTTTAAGGAATATAGCTATGAGTTTAAAAACCTCTTATTTTTTTAACTTCCTTCTGTAGGATAAAAAGCACTGTAGTAATCTCAGTGGTGTACTGTGATTTTGGTCATGTGTACTGCAGTGCTAACTTCAACGTAAGTGTTAAAACTAAAATGTGGTTATACTGTGTAACCGAAGAAATACTTAACATCTAAATATCAGCTTTCTGAAGCATCATCTGGGAGCTTCAGCTCCTGAGAATCCAGAATTAGAGGCACTTCGCTTGGAACTGGCAGAGATGAAAGAAAAATATGAAGCTGTGCTGGAAGAAAATAAAACCCTGAAAAGCAAGGTAA